TTTCTAATTGTTCTAAACCAGTCAGCGCTCTAGATCTACATTATCCCTAGGCCTACCAGTAAAGTACCCGGCCTTCATCCTTGCGACCTGTCACCCGCTGGCTACTGACTGGCAGCGCCAGTGAAGAGACAGACGGCGAGGATGGTTAATGCTCGTGGCACCGCTTGCGGTAGTCTCTGCTGGGAGCAAGTAAAATCTTTGCTCCAAAGTTACTCGTATTTTTGTCACTGTAGAGAAATCTAGATCTAGGCATTGTTCTTCCCGCACAAGAAGAAAGGTGCATGAAACTGCTCTTCGTAGCACCAATTTCGTGCATGCTAAAAATTAAAAAAATAGATCCAAGTTTCCCGAGTCTATCTACAACAGTAGATCTAGTAGAGTCCACGGTAACTCAATGAAGAATTTGTATCGAAACTGTTGTCTCCCTCCATTGTGTAGCAAGTCCTGGTGCTGCACGAAGTAATTAGAAGTCTTTAAATCTTCTCAGATTGCGAGCATAGGGAGTCGTTAGTATTGTTTCACGTCATTGCAGTTTTTATGCGGTGTCATCTAGAGACAGTTGTAAATATCTAAAGATGTAGATTACGGGATATCCTGCAGATTCTAACCGACTGTCTCTAGAAATCTTAATACGTGTAGTAACTACTAAAACTATTGCCCATTTGCTCACTTTCCAATTCTGCACCACCTTGTCAGCAACCCACGCGATGCCACTGCCCATAGGCCGAGGTCTGGACGCTCAGGATATTATTGTAAGAGAAAAGCGTATAGGCCTAGGCAGGTCGTGGCCCAAGGCTAATGAGCCCCGGAACTATCTAGCGGGGTGCTCAAGTTCATTGTCTTGCCCCTAGGCTATTTTCAAATTTAGATCTGTGTCCCGACTCTGTGACCGTGAACTTGAGAGAGAAGAATACGGCATACATGCAGTTAGTTCTAAAGGCTTAGGTCACCTTCTGTTGAGTGTCGAGTTGTACATGTAGTGTGCCATTGAATGGTGTGTAGTGTGTAGTGGAGTGGTGAAAGTATTACTACTTGAGTGTTCCGTTCCACAGCACGATGAACGAAATTGATTTTTAGCTAAAAAAATATATTTTAGTTCTAGAAATCAAAGCCACAAATAAAAAGAATGAAAGTGAAAGCACTAGGTCCTCACCAACTGAACGTTTCACAAAGACAATAGAATTATACATCATCCCGTTTACTGTGCCCTTGTCCAGTAAATGTCCAGACCTCCTTCTGTCCTCCCTGAACAACTTGCCGCCTTTAGACTTTAGACCAAAGATCCGTGTCCTTCCATCAGGCGGACGGACCAGTTCGATTCTGCTATCCCGTGTGCGAGTGTCCACTCCAGTCACCTCTGTGGTCCACACCCAAGTCCTTGATCTGCCGCTGACAGGAGTTGACGGGAGCGAGTCCGTCAAGGTGGCTTTCCGACGGCAGTAACATACGTTTTTTTTTCTTTCAAGTCCCCGTGTAGATCAGCCAGACTACGTTTTTCGTTTATATTTTTTCTTTTCTTTTTTTTGTTTGTTGCTGAAATGGTTAAATCTGACATATTCGTCTTTTTTTAAAATGCGAAAACATACCAAACAATATACCGCTGTGGATTCATCCCCCATCTCTCCTCCCTCTTTGTTGTGTTTGTTTACTCTCTCGTAACAACTCTGTTATAATCTTGGCACTTGTGCTTGTAGGACTCAATTGCATTGCAAGTGCCGTAAAACGCTTGCTCGAACCAAACAAAAGACCAGCTGTGTGACTTCAATTGCATTGCAAGTGCCGTGAAACGCTTGCTCGAACCAAACAAAAGACCAGCTGTGTGACTTCAATTTGCCTCAGGCAAAAGAGCGCACTCCAATGAACGAACAGGTGGTTTCGAATGAACTCGACTGCCAGTTACATAGGTCTACATGTACTTGCCAAGACTAAGTATACACGAACGGAAGGACGCGGATCTTTGGTCTGAATATGATGGGCCTTAATTAACTGCCGTCTGTTGGGCGGGAAGTCTCGTCAAAGATGAGAGGGAGCTTCGCTTGGATTTCAGGCCCAGGCTAGGCTAGATGTTGTTGTTATTGTTGTAGTATTGTTGTTGTTATTGTGCCACTATTGTTGTTGTTATTGTTGTTGGTGTTACATTATGTAATCGTTGTCGTTGCACCTGCTACGTCTTCTGCTGCTTATGTTTATATTCAACAGCCTCGGTGACGACCTGCGTGCATTCTTCTTTGCTTAGATCTCAAAGATCAAATGTCTGGTAACCGCTGGTTTTCGCTAAGCCTGAAACATGTGTAAATTTTCCTCGATAATCTAGCCGACCTTCACCGCGTATCGGATCCGGAGCAGTGTTTTTGGCGAAAGTATAAATAAAGTGTACAGTGTACAGCCTGAGGAAGGAATGCTGCGCCATCGTGGGCTAAACGATAGTGGGCTTGAGCCAAACCTACTTCCCTGGGGAAGATGACAGAAGACGACAAAGGGGAGGGGGGGGGGTCATTTTGGGCCAAATTTTAGATGACGTCATTTATGAACGGTCCCTTCAAGCAAGACGAGCTGGCCTAGCCTACCCTGCAAACGTTCAAAGATTCACTTGATTTCTATTGCAGAATTCTATTCCCAGGTAATTTTATCTTTTTTAAAACTGAATATTTGAAGCTATTAAAAGGGTGTTGGCTATTTAAAAAGATTTTTTTGGGTACTTATGGTTCTAAGTTTTGTGATAAATACAATCAGATCATGAGAACACACTTTTGAGAAAGGCTAGAGATTATAAACTTTTTGGACAATTTCGGGCGCGCGCATTCTCCTTTCCCGTATCCGGTCGGTGTTTTTGCGGGTTAGAGGGTTTGCGATACCAACTTTTCGAATATAAAACTCAACTACTTTTCCATGTTCGATTTTCCCCTCACACTCCGACCTGACGGGTAGATAGCAATATTAATTTGTTATGTTTATTTACAGACGTCGATAGAGGCATACTTCGATGTGTTGTACAAAGGATTTCCTAAATGTGTACTTAAATTCTTCTATTTGACTGTTTATGTGTCCCCCGTCTCATTCAACAAAAGTTACATCTTTCGCTCCTCCCAATTTTACCACAAGGCAATGGATCGGATTAACCTTTTCCAGACCGTAGCACCTAACTTTGTGGCTCTAATAGGCCCCTATGCCTTACAGAAAAAACTGTATGCCCAAGAATCAAACCTGGGGGTAATTGAATGGTTTGGAAGAGTTTAGATTAACCAATCCAAAGGGGGAAAAGAGATTAATATTATGTCAGTTCATGGGAAGGAAAATAATTATGTTTTGTACTGATTATGTTCTGAAAGCTTCTTTCTTAACATACAAGCTCAGTTGCTGTAACTTTAGGCATAAGAGAAGTCAAAACTGTCCTTTGTGTCTCAGTTTCAATCTACCAAACAATTTATTTTAAAAATACACATGTAATCCCCCCCCCCCTTTTCAAGCTTCAACGATACCTTTAATCTGACGTTCCGATTATCAGTAGTTAGCTCTAGTTCGATTCCCCTTGTTTTCCCTTGCCTAATGTAACCATCATGGTGGATTGTAGTACGAGAAATGTTCTCAATTATTCCATGTTTGTCTAGCTGTCCAGTGTTTTCTTGGATGATTTGAAAGTGTTTTTGTGATCGAAGTCATGACAGCATTTCCCTATGTTTCCTCTTCGGAGAGAAGATGGAGAAACAAATTTACACCAACCCCAATTGGACTTTTCGAGAGAGAAGTTCGTGGGACAAACGTTAGTGCCTTGAAGGAAAGATTGATCGGACACAGGATTGCACACTCACAGAGTCTATTCAAGCGTGATCTGCTTGGTCACTTTGGATGTGTGAACGCTATTGAGTTTTCCAACGATGGGGAGTTTATTGCATCAGGTCAGAAGACTTTTTTCAAAGGCTGATCAGTGATGTTAAGGGACCGTACGCCCCAATAGCGCTTGGCGCTAGGGGAGGCGCTAGAGGGAACCGTACGCCCCCATAGTGTTTGGCGCTAGGGGACCGTACGTCCCCATAGTGTTTGGCGCTAGGGGACCGTACGTCCTACCTGCGTTAAGGCGTGGTGTTACGGGACCGTACGTAGATATGCATGCATCAGGACTTTGCAAAAATACTGGAGGAAAACTGCCAGTTTAACGAAGCTCCTGACGTAACGAGAATCATGTTTAAAATATCTGAATACGACTGTGAAGTATCCAGTGGCCATGGGTGAACCAAATCTTGAAATTTGCTCACATCTGCACCCACGTTGTTGTTATGTGTCAATAAAAGAAATCAAAGAGAAGGAGGGAGAGAGAGAGAGAGAGAGAGAGAGAGCGAAAAGAGAGAGAGAGAGAGTGTGTGTGTGTGAGTGTGAAAAACAGACAGAAAGGAAGTGAGAAAGAAATAAAAAAAGAAAGTAAGAAGGAGCGGGAGAGAGAGAGGGAGACAAAGTGTGTGTGTGTCTCTGTGTGCGTGTGTTAGAGAGAGAGATGGGGGGGGGGGGGGGGGGTTCGTGAGAGGAAGAGAGAGATGAACAAATTTACACAAAGGGAGTGTTTTGGACAAAAATGAGTAGGATAATAATGTGGGATCCATAGTGTGTGTGCTCAGGCGCATTCTGAGGGCAGACGTGAGTACAATTTTAAGCTTGCGACCGAAAATAATAGAAGCCCCATTTAATGACGCTCGTAAACGCCGGAAATTTACTCACTTTTGCATGAAAAAGAGAACACGCCTGAGCATGCACTCAGTCTTGATAGCGCACAAGACGCAAGATCAACTCACATTCAGTGACAATAACAATAACATGAAAAGAAAGAAAAAAGAAGACAGCTTGGAAAAGGTAGATGAATTTAAAAGCAAAGCAAATTATTGAAGAGACTTGACAGAACGTCGGGTTGTGAACTAAGCACAGACGAATGAAAGTTTATTTGCAAGCGCATTACTGTAACGTATAATATTATACGCCTGTCCATAAAATAGTAAAACAACATTAGTATAGCTGGACTACTTTTGCACCTAAGTGTCATGTAACTGTAGTGTAATTCGTGGTGCAACTTTTCCTCAAATATCTCTTTAACGGAGAATCAATCTCACCGATACTTTGCACAGCAGTTTGTATAAAAAATATCTTAACTGAGTCATATTTTTCCACAACAATTGAGGCTCGATCAAAAAAATGTTCTTCATAAATTATATATATAAAATACTAGGCCTATAAATTTCCATCATGCGAAAAATGTGATTGTTCATGATATAATATAGCACTTCCCGCTTCTCGCACACATTTTGCATACACGCATAGATATGGCCTACGTCATAGCTCGCCAATGACACTTTTTGGCAAAACTTCATACAAAAATGTTTTTATAATGAACACATTCTTTTTACGCTAAAGGTTTCCTAAACATACGTTCAATAAGCATGCTTGTTATATTGTGATTGGTAAAAAATGACAGACTTGCTTTTAAAAGCGATATTGCCTGAGCTGTAAAATTTTTAAAATTTGTAGAAACAATCGACTGGTATTTTTTATTAGTACTTATTAAGGAATTTTCTAGAATACAGTGTGCAGGAGTTAGAAAAAATGTTCACCTGTTAAGACAAATTGATATAACACTGTGCTGTTGTTATCGATCCAGAGTTGTTGTAAAGGTTGGAGAATCTATGTTCGATAGGTAAGGAGATATTACACGATAAGTTGCGCCGTGCATTTTTGACCGTACTCTAGGCGTTAGTTGGTATACTATGAATTTAATTTGTACTCTTAACTCATATTTCACGCAAGGCGTTAGATGATAAATGATCTCTTCTCAATCTAATAGCATAATTATACCCTGCCTACCCCATCGTTCGCCCCCCACATTCCCTTCGCCAACTCTTTCCACCTCTCTCTCTCTCTCTCTCTCTCTCTCTCTCTCTCTCTCTCTCTCTCTCTCTCTCACACACACACTCACGCACACACTCTCTAGATTTCTACCGGGTCTGGGCGCTGAAACTTCCCGAAATCACAAAAGAGTTCCCCTACCGGGTCTGTATACTTCGTGACTTTGTTCCCGGTTACCGGGTCTGTAGACACTTTGTTCTTTTATTTACACATAACAACAACGTGGGTGCAGACGTGTGAGCAAATTTCAAATTCTGGTTCACCCACGACCACTGGATATACTTCACAATCGTTTTCAGACATTTTAAACATTCTCCTTACCTCAGGAGCTTTGTTAATCTGGTCGTTTTCCTCCAGTATTTTTGTTAAGTTCCAGATGCATGCATATCTATGTATGGTCCCGTAACACCACACTTTATCGCAGGTAGGACGTACGGCGCCAAACACTATTGGGACGTACGTACGGTCCCTTAACAAAATAGTCTTTTTCAAATATATTCGGTAGTCTTTCACTTTCTAATTTCAGTTGCTCTGTTTATTTTGTTGACGATACTGACGATAGAGTTGATCTAGATCCAGACTCTAGAGATATCTAGATCTAGATTAATCTAGATTTCTAGATCTAGATTCTAGACAAGATTATCAAGATCTAAATCCAGGATGACTACTTTGTATCCAAATGTGACTTACCTTACATCTAAACAAGCCATCTCATACAGATCTCACTGTGATTATTCTCACCCGCGGTGAGGAGAAACTGGATATTATTCTCACCCGGGGTGAGAATAGTGGCAGCCTACTATTCTCACCCGGTTTTTTCGTTTTGGGCATCATAGGAATAGGACCCCTGTCACTGAGCGCTCCAGGCGACAAAACTCGCCTCCCTCTCTCACTCCGCTGAGCGCGCGAGGCGACTACAATCGCCAACGGGCGGGCCAGCTCTTGAGCGCGGGAGGCGACTATTGTCGATTTGGGGGAAAACAAGGAGATTTAAAAAAGTAATTTGATCAAATAGCGTCACCTTTTGTTGCTACAGTATTAGTGTAGGTAGCGTCAATTGCCACCGAGTGACGTGGCAATTGACAAAAATTTACTTTTTGTCAATTGCCACCGAGTGAAGCGGTGTCAAGTCTGAAAACAATACTATCTTTAGCATTATACATATAATGTGTGTCTAATGGTTCAATTTGTTCTCAACTAATTTCATTGGACGAGCTTCTAGTCTAGAGCTACGGTACCAGCTTGGCGTGTTTTCAATGAGACGTAGGCCTAGATCTAGGCTAGCCTTAGCCTACACTTTGGTGTAGAACCAACACAGGCAATTCTAGAAGTAGAAGGTCACAAACGCACACAAACTCAAGCAGAAATTCACGTTATATCGGGGAACATAAATCGGGGAACGGGGGTCAGGAAAAGACTCACACACACACACACACACACACTCACACACACACACACACACACACACACACACACACACACACTCACACACACACACACACACACACTCACACACACACTCACACACACACTCACACACACACACACACACACACACACACACACACACACACTCACACTCACACACACACACACACTCACACACACACACACACACACTCACACACACACACACATACACTCACAGAGGGACAGAGAGGCGAACGCACAACACCGAGCACTCGAGCACATTAAGCTAGATCTACCCACCAACGCAAAAGAGCTCCAATTTACTCGGTGGCAATTGACAGAAAGTCAATTTTTGTAAATTGCCACCGCCTCACTAGGTGGCTATTGACACTACCATTAATTTATTCGTTCTGTAATGGAAAATTTTACTCTTGAATGGTTTAACCAATCAAAATTTTAGAAAAAAAATGGTCAAGGCACTGCGTTCCTTAAAAATAATGGTGGGTTCTGCTAGGGATAACAGTTCAGTATGTTTTTTTTTGTGTTGTAAACAAATGCCAATTGTAACATTACAGTGACAAACTACATGTATATTTAACATTATATATTTCATTAAACAGCTTTCAGTTAACGGAGTGCTGATAAATTGGCCCACTGGGGCATATAAAATTTCCCGAAGAACATTTATTTTCCGAAGTGACTATTTCTCGGCACGTTTGGAGAAATAGTGCCGATCTTTATTTCTCCGAATGGTTTCCGGCTTTCGGTCTCGGGATTTCTTGCCTATTTGTGTGAGTTCAGCGCCAACTTTCATTCTGCCATTCCGCGAGGTCTGGGAAGGAGCAAATTTTTGGGTCTAGATCTAGATCTATTTCAATTTTCAAGAGCTAGTCTAGAGATTTTTAGATGAGTGTAAAAACGTGAAAAAGAAAGGTTTCACAACAGAAAGAAATCAAAATGAGAACAGCCCATAAACAACCACAAACATTAACAAATAAGGTCGTGTGTCCACCTGTCTGAAGAAGATTGGCTGTTTTAACCCTAAATGTGCGTAATAAAAAAAAAAAAGTACATATGTAAATTAATCACACACAAGGGGCCTGCCAGTGTCAGTACATGTAATCGGTTTTGGTGGAACTCTCTAACATAACACATTTAAATCTATATATTTAGAGTCTAATGAAGGTAGGAACATCAAATTAAATGACGTTACACTATACTATAGATACAACATTCCCCCCCCCCCCCCTTTTTCCCCAGCAAAAAAAAATTAATAGAAAAACAACTCACCAGAACAATAAGAAGACAAAAAAATGACACACCAACAAAATAAAACAGCACAAAGAGGGAAAAATAAAAGAGGAACAGAAATACAAATGGTATGTAACTGTAACGTATTCAACAAATCAACGTGGTGACAACAAGTGAGAAAGAGACGTAGTGAAGCTAAGTGAACTTTCTTTCAAAAGTAAAAAGTTTCCGTTTCTTTTTTTTAAATAGTTTTTAAAATTGGACTTTTATTCCCTGGTTCGGGGACCAAGAAAATGCCCAAAAATGGAGCCACGGTTGATTGGTTGCCACCGTGACAAACGCAGATGCT